ACAACATTCTTAGTGGGAAATGGAGATGAAACCTCACAGACAGGCATGGCAATGGGTCTAAAGGAAAAGTGAGATGTGATTAATACCAAAAACGGAATCTGCTTCTGGGAGTTCTCCTACTTAGCCTAAATTTGCTCCTCAGATCAGAGAGCAAATCCTCGTCACACACACACACACACACACATACATACTATACTCCATTCTTAGCGGGAAATGGAGATGAAACCTCACAGACAGGCATGGCAATGGGTCTAAAGGAAAAGTGAGATGTGATTAATACCAAAAACGGAATCTGCTTCTGGGAGTTCTCCTACTTAGCCTAAATTTGCTCCTCAGATCAGAGAGCAAATCCTCGTGAAAACTGAAAGGCCAGGGAACGTATGAGAATGTGCTTAGAACACAGGACACTACCCCAGAAACGTGAACTGGAGTAAAGCCAGGAGCCCTCACAAACACTGCTCACATCCACTGCTCCTCATCTCTGGATACTTTTATCACAAGTGCCAAGGGCCTACTTGGTCTAAAGAGATGGACTCCAAGCCATAGCACCTTGGGAATCTTAAGACACAGACAAGACTACACGTCAAGTTCACATCCAGGAATAAGGGGCCAAAAGGGGGCAAGGACGCTCTCCAGTTCTATCCTTCTCTCCCGGGCTCCACCAAGCACCCAGGCCCTGGAAGGGAGCCCTCAGGCCTTCCTGAATCACGGCCGAGGAGCTCGGAGACCCAGCAGGAGGGGGATGCCTTGGTCCAGCTCAGAAGGAAACTTGCAAGCCTGAGGAGAAGAGGGAGGACAACAGCCACAGCAAGGTCTGCACTGCTCAGCTGTCTAAACAAATAAAATGGTCCATTTCTTCTGGATCCTCTCCTAGTTGTCTTTGCGCACACACAAGCATGTGCGTGCAGCATACTCTCTCTCTCTCTCTCACACACACACGCACAAGCCATTTCACATCTTAAAAGAAAAACAACCAAGAAAGGTCTACTTGGTTTGTTTTTCCTGCGTGCGGAGTATTTTTTTTCCTAAATCACATCTGACTTGGTGTTAAAACATCAACCTTCGGCCAAAATACTCTTAAAACAAAGGCTTAATTGGTCCTGAAGTAGCCCTTCTGAAAACCAAGGGGAACATCGTGGGTCTTGACCTTGCTTACAACCCTGCTCTTGGGGTTGGAATAATGATGAGTGGAAGAGTGTTGGGAGAGCTCTCCTCAGGGAGGCAACAGAAGGGCCTAAACATGGATCCTAATCGCTTGCAGAGCCTCCCTCGGAGCAATCTGCAGTGTGGGCCCACCTCTGCCCCGCAACCTGCTAACCCCCCCGCCACCAACCTGCTATACCTTAAACCTCCCCCCGCAACCTGCTAAACCCCACCCCCCACAACCTGCTAAACCTCCCCCACAACCTGCTAAACCCCCCCAGGTTAATGGAGACGTGGGAGGAGCTCCTAGGAGCTGAGGCAGGGGCCAAACCACTATGTGCAGGGGCCTGTACTGGACTCTGGGCAAAGGAGCCTTATCTTACTGCTCCTCCTCATAAATATCACTCACATACCTAACAACCGCCATGCAGAGCATCTCCATGCTAACACTTGAAATCCAGTGTCAAAGTCTCTGTCGAAAGGTCAACGTGAAGCTAAGCACACACACACTGCCCTGCGCCTCTCCAAGGCGACTCCTGTGTATGAACAGCTGTGGGGAGAGTGTGACGAGGGGCTTATTCCTAACAGCAGAACACTGGAAGCAAATATCCAACAATGCAGAAAAACTACATGCAATGTGCCCTATTCCGACGTGGAATGCTATGCAGCCGTGAAAAAGCAAATTATTGCTACACACAGGCATGGTGCTGAGTGGGGCCAGGCATGAGACAGTATATTCTGTACAACTCCATTTCTAAGAAGCTAAAGGGCGGGCAGAACTCACCCATGAGGATAGCTAAAACTACTCCTCGTGAGAATTTTTACTGGAGGCCCGGGAAAAGGATGACTGGGAAGAGAACAAGAGACCTCTGGGAAGTTGCTAATATTCTTTACCAGGAAAAGCAAACTACAGTCCCTGAGCCACATCCAGCCACTGTCGGATTCTGTAAAGTTTCATTGAGACACAGTCACAGCGATGCCTTCAGGTACTATTTTTGGGTGCTTTCTCGTCACACTGGCAGAGCTGAGTAGTTGCCATAGAGATTGTATGGCTCACTATCTGCCCCTTTACAGAACAAGTATCCGAAACCCATTCTATACTATACTGATGTGGGTAAAAGTTCACCCACTTCTCCATTAAAGATCTGAGTACCACACTTCAATAAAACTTTTAAAAAGTCAATAGTCAAATAACTACATCTAAAAAAAGGCTTTTAAATTTTCATTCCACATACATTTGTGCTAAACGTTGAGAGAGAATCATTTTTGTTACTTTTGTCTTTTCAAAACTGAGAGGAGCCAGGAGGTTGTCAAAAGTGGGGGAAGATCCCAACACAGCCATGGATATGGTGTCCATAACTTTGACAAGAACATGATTCTGTCTACAGAATCACTCAGCATCCATTCATACAAACGGTGAACTTGGCCAAGCCCTGAGATTACAGGAGGGAAGGCAAGGGGAAGGGGGATGAACCTCATGTGATACACGGTATCATACTACGCGAGGTTATTTTAGGATATAGCTTAGGAGAGCAACAAGCTCAGCTCATACTGAAATACAGTATTTATTAAGGCTAAACCAGTTTAAGTTCCCAGGAAAGAAAATTCGGCCCTGACCATCACACGCTGCGTTTAAGCCTTATCCTAGAGACCAGAGCCAGGGGACACGGCCGCTTCCTGCTCACCAACTCAGTGCCACCCTCTCCTCCCACCCCACCTCGTGGTTGAGCCGCCATGGGCCTTGGGAACCATTTTTGTGTGTCTGAGGTTTCCTCTTTTTTTCCCTTTGCTTCTTTTGTCTGTTTTTCCCCCCATTTATTCTTTGATGATCCAACTAGAATTACAGCTAGCTGCCATTTGGCGTGGCCTGGTCCTGGTCCGGCGGGGTGGGGGTTGGGGGGGAGGGACACGACACTGAGAGCATGCGGTGCTGGGCCTCTGATAAAACGTCTCTCTGTTTGCCCACATGGGCATCCAGCCTCGGCAAACAGAAGCAGGGCAGAACAATACTACCTGTTCATGGAGGAATAGTGATGGTTTCAGTCCTCCAAACAATGAGCTCTGTAATTTACTCCATCTTCCTCCTGAGAAAGGGCTTCCCATGGCCCGCGCCGTGCCAGGTGGTTTGGAGAAAAGACGAGCTGCCCGGCCTAACAAGGGCCGCTTCAGCAGGGTGTAAAGACACAACAGCTGGTCTGGTCTCGGCTGGTCTCCCAGTGCCATGGCCCCAGCCAGCCTTTCCACACCAAGATAGGGATCACTACGCTATTCAGTCTCCACCATTCCCACACCCCGGGCAACAGGCTCTTCCAGCGCTCCCCGAGATATCGTGGGCCCCAGGACATCGCTCAGCCCTCCATTCATTGGGAGTCCGGGTTTGGGCACGTTCTCTAACCAAACCCCGAGTCTACACCAGCTTCTGGGAGCAAGACTCACTGTGCCATTCATCAAGAGGGACAAGGGTCCGCCGGGCGTGTGCCAGCAAGAACAACTGGAGGCCCAGCTGAAGACACCAGTCCTGAAAATATTTGGGGGTTGGGAGGGTAAAACCAAGGCCACACTTTCCCCTCAAATACACACACAGATCAGCCAGCACAACTTCAGAAGTAATAGAAATATTTTTAAAATCAGTTACCGTCACCTTGAAATGGGTACAAAAATATTAGGGATCCACCAAATAAAAATGCCTGCTGAGTCATAGCTTCCCCTGGTGGTATGGTGCACAAGTTATGGGGGGGAGGGGGCAAACGGCTACTTGAAAGTCTTACCCAGGAAGATGCAGATGTGAAGCAGCAGAGACACACAGATGCCATGCGGCTGGAGTTCCGGGAGACCCCTTGCCCATACCCCCCAAGTTATCAGCAAGGGTAACTACAAGGCAGGGAACACTGGGACAAGTAAATCATTCAACCCACCGACAGCGACTTCTGAGAAGACGCCAGGGCCAGACTTGCACACTACAACGACCGGTGTCAAAGCCTCCTTCAAAGGGTTAAACCAGAAGACCCAAGGAGGGTCAGCCCCATCAGTTACACCAGGAGGCCCTTCCATCCTGGCAAAGCCAGGCCAGGCCAGACAGACAGACGAAAATCGTATTAGTCTGCTCTCACTCCACAACCGCATTCTGCTGGCATCAGTTCAGCTCGGAGTCTATATTAGTTCATGATTTGTTTAGCCTTTGGATTTAAGAGAATGGAAGTACTACGTGAGCAGGAAACAGGACACTCATCAGAAGCTGGGATCTGTCGCCTTTCCCTTCCAGCACGGTTAGTGTCATATATCAACAGGCCCAGGAGAAATCAACATTTCAGGACAATCAGGTCAAAAGTGATATTCTTAGCACCACTTAACATGATTTTGATCCACCGGAACAACTCTCTGGCTGTCAGACAGCCTCCTCTCCCATCTCCCCCTTCATTCCTCTCCTGGTCACTTTCTGTCGCCTCTTTTTACTCCCAGTTTAAGACCCCTCCCTAAGCAAAACACAGTAGCCAAGCTGGGGTCTGTGTGCCCATTATGCCTGAACAAGAGGCTCTTCACACAAAAACACCGGCTGCTCTTTCTTCCCATATCTTCAAATCATTTCAGCAGCACATCTTCTGCTCTTGTTTATTCTTTGCTTCCTACCTCCCCCAATCAACTACCACCACCGCCGCCATCACCACCATCGTCATGACCACCACCGTCATCACCACCATCATCACCACCATCATCACTACCATCACCATCATCGTCATTGCCAACATCATCATCAACATCATCATCATCATCTAGGTTGAGGGAAGGGGTAGAGAATGAAAGACACAAAAGACCTACACATTGACAATTCAAGCTTCAGGATCTGTGGCATTTCCTACCTGAATTGCAATCTGGTGTTCAATCGTTTTGTACGCAGAGTAATGCGTGCTCCCGGACTGAAAATGGAGCTGTAGAAAGAAACCAAATCAAAGCGTTCTGCTTATGACACAAACTACAAGGAAACATCTTAAGCAGTTTATGAATAGCAGACAAACCTTCCTAGATTGAACTGCAGCATTGGCATTCAATCGAGACCCGTGGATTTTATTTGTTGCTATGGATAAGATGATCATAATAATCTAAGGTAAATTTAAAAAAAAAAAAGAGCCCTATTCAATAAACAAAAAGGAAGTGGGGGGAGGGGGCCAGGAGTGAGAATCAGTAACATGAAAAGGGAAGGGACGGACGCCCATTTAGACATAAGAAGCCAGTGTGCTGAGCAGGATGCTGCAGAAAAATTAACTGTGCTGCACAGGTCATCAGCATTGCAACATGTAGGCCAGAGGCAGAGCGTGGGAGAGAAAGGGTTATGAGAAGCCACAAGACCGCCACAGGTAGACAAGCCCCCACGGTGCTGGTGCTAATGACTGGGCTCTAACTCCTTGCAAACTCAAGTCTATTTTGGGGAAAACGAATGTGTCAGGCAGAATCCAGGGGCCACCCCGGGTCTCGTACAGCACATTCTTTCACAATGACTAAGCTATGTGGCCCAGGACAGCTCCGGCGAGCCCGCATTCTAGGTATCCCCACTTCCCCAGAGAGGGAGCCGACCACCATCAAACAGCCACCAAGCTTTCTGAAGGAAGACCACTTGGTGGCCCGTGAGTGAATGTTCACCTAGGCCAGTGGTCGGCAAACTGCGGCTCGCGAGCCACATGCGGCTCTTTGGCCCTTTGAGTGTGGCCACGAAGTTTCAATCGCACTGTACGTGCACGCCCGCACGTGGTATTTTGTGGAAGAGCCACAGTCAAGGGGCCATTTTGTTGAAGAGCCACAGTCAAGGGGCCGCAGTTTGCAGACCACTGACCTAGACCCTGCACAGGAGAGTCCTGTCGTCTCTCCCGGGTCTTCCCCTCGGAAACCCTACCGTTTCCCCATCGAAGTGTGCATCCCCACAGAGAAAGGACTACCCCGATTCCTCACCAAATTCTTTCTTTCCCAAATAGCACCTGTTAATCCTGGAACCCTACCAACTGGGAAAACAAACACCACCCGATTTCCTTTATCAACACTACAACAATCTCTACAGAATCTCAACAGTATCTGAAAATGCATTTCAATTTGCCATTTACACACAAATGGTGAAGAATCGGATGGTCCTGAGAAATTGCTGCCCATCCCCCCTCACAGCAATAGGCCTAGTGGTGTTTCCAAACAGGGATCGGTGTGACTATAACATACTATCACTACCACTGCCACTAACTATTACTATTACCACAATCGGAACGCTCTGTATAGCCACATGTAACCTAGCCTGCAAGGGTTCTAGACCAAATTAGTTCATATCTTCCTCCCTGCCAAAAATATTATTCAGTCCATAAATAACAGGGGGGGGGGAACGGAGAGGGGGTTTCACATAAGAACTTCTGACCCAACTCAAAACAAACACAACGCAGTAGCAATCACATTTGAAAAAACAGTCTAAAGTTATATTGCCCATGACATAAGGCTGTAAGTTCCCCTGTTGGGTTCTGAGAGCATTTTATCTGTCACAAATAAACAAAAATACTGCCTGGATCTATTAAGAGTCTGCTTGCCCCAGAACACAATATTAATCAAAGTTAAAAGGGGGCACAAGAAAGGTGGGCCCAACAAAAGCATTTTCTCACCTGTCAAGGCAGAGTAATGAACCACACTCCCTGGAACAAGCCAGGATAAATGCTGAAGATATGCCCCCCCAACGCACACAGCCCCCACACAGACTCAGAAGCAGGTCATCCAAAGTGGACTGCTGCAAAAGAAGGATGAATTTGCACCCTTTGCCCCGCTCTCCCCACCCCACCCCTACCCCCCCGTCCTTTTTTGTGAAAACTGCCAGTCAGTAAGCGGAGATTGCACTAATTACGGTGACAATGCTGCGTCGTGTTAAAACAACTTTTGTTAAAAACAACTTTTGTGCACGAGACAGGTTGCTCTGCGAGTTTGGAATTCTTGGCTGGAGAGCAGCTCTTGTCGGACAGGGGGTGTTCTCCTAAGTGGAGAAGGCAACACTCACAACGTGTCCCCCTTTTCAGCGGGTTTTCTTCTCCTCCTTTCCAAGGGCCTGATTCAGAGCTTAATGGAAACTTGTCCAAGCTTTGCTTCCCACAGACCCTGCGGAGCCCTAGGCAATCTGTACTCAGGGTAACCACAGGAATCTTATATTGTCAATTAAAATTGAATGGACACCTGATAACTAAGTACAGGGTCGTGGAAACAAAATTTCATATAATCACAGCCCTATGAATACATTAATGAAACTGTGGCTAATCCAAATTCAATTTTCACTTGTCGGGTTCCAGTCTTAATCCTGGCGTTCATCACCACCCAAACAACAATGCAACCCGGAGAGAAAGCTGCAATTAAAACAGTCAAGGTGCAGCTGCCGGTCCTGACGACTCTGGTAGGACCAAGTTAATTTAACCTTCACGCACACACCATCCTAGCACCCCCAAGCAATGTCACTTCCCTCCTCAGGTGTCCAGACACACAGTATAACCTGGACCAGCTCATCAATACCCACAGCCAAGCTCCATGCGTATTCCCTCCCAGCCAGTGACCACCGTGTTGGAGGGATTTCGAGCTTGACTTCCTCCAGCTACAGCGACAAAGCCTTTAGCATTTTCTTGGTTCGCCTTTGGGCTTCCAGCCCCTCGTTTCCCCAACAGTCCCCGTTCTAAAACACATTTCAACCTGCTTTTTCCTTCCCTGTAAAACACACAGATGCCTTGTTCGTTATGGTCTAGCTTTTTAAGACAAAGATAAAATACAAGGACTCTGTAAAACCTTGGCATTCTAAACTGCAACATGCCTGCATTTATATCTCTGTAAAAAGCTGTAAGGCAGGAGAGAACAAGAGATGGTTGGCTCTCTGCTTTTTTTTTTGGAAGAGATGGAGAGGTTGCAAGATCCAGGACAAGACACAGGGCTCTCTAAGGCTTATCTGGGTTTAAGAACCAGGTTCCCATAATCCTCGACTCTTGGGACCGCCCTGCTGTTGGTCACCTGCAGCACTGACGTCACTTCCTCTCCCAGCCACGGTGGCTGTTGTACCCTGGGCACGAAGCAGGCCCTCAACGGGGTGCCTCCCTCCCAGGGGTGCCACCAAATGAGAACTCCAAGGTACTTTCCAATTAATTCCTTCCCGTAAAACTCGCACAAAATAGACCTCCCCTTCCAGTGTGTTTGTTTACAGCGGCCAAGCCCACCCACCCATTCTCACACCCGAGGGTGACCTGGCCCTCACTTGTCCTGAGGAAGCGCCAGGAAGAGGTGGCTGTGCCTGGCACAGGGGTGCCCATTCGCCAGCAACTGGAAAACCAACATCTTACGGTTAACTGCTCCCCTGATGATTAGCATCTCTTGATTTCCCTCATTTTATTCCTCATCACCACTACTGGCCATAAATGTGATGTCTCAGATACAAGCCGTCAGAGAGGAGAGCAATGGGCTTTCACAACCTCAAAGGTGACTTAAAAAAAATCAAAACCCGATGTTGGTTTTTCCAGCTCCAGTTAAACTTCCAGTGTGGTGAAGATTCCTTTTCGATACCTGTTCATTTCACTAAATGGGGAAGAGGTGGGGCATTTGCTTTATGTTCTGCTTCATGAATCACTTGACTTGCTATTTTATTAAAAAAATAATAATAAATCCAGATTCATTTCCTGCAAAGTTTTGGTTTTGGAGGTCTTTTGGTCCACTCTCCTTCCTTTTTACCCTGTAGCTACCGTCATCAGCCACTTGAAGTTTAATTCCCATGCCATTCGCGTAAAAGACAGAGCAGTTTTTTAAAGTAATGATAATAATAATATCTAAGGCTTTTTCTTACATCATCAGTCATTTTCAGGACAGGAACAGCACAGCACCCCTCTGTGGGGAGCCTGTTACATTTAATGGGAAGTGAACTTCTGGCCAGGACTCTGGGCTCCTGCCTGCCCTTTTAAAAAGTGTCCAGGGGGCCTCTGACTTCCCCTTGGGGAGGCAAAACCAGCTCTGACTGGTAGCTACGTGGGCTTCAGCATTCCTGAAAAGATCCAGCCGCTGAACACTTACTCCATCCTAAAACAACAACTTAAACAAAGGCACCCCCTTTTCACTTCCTGGCATTCTCCAGAAGTCCTGCTGCAACAAAACGCAGGCCTTCAGACAGAACAACCTCTCCCACTGTCTCCCATGTTCCACCAAATGTCTATTTACCCTCATTAATTTTTTTTTCCTTTTCTTTTTCCTCAACCTGAAACCATCAGCTATGAGTCAGAGAGCGATCATTAACTTTTACAGCTTCCACACACATCCACCTACTCACATTTGGGGAAAGAAGTATTGACTTGCAACATTGCCTGAGACCAAAATCCTGTAAGAAGAAAAAAAAAGGGAAAAAATTGCTTCAAGAAAGTTACATCTATAGGTCTATGGGGGGATGCTACACGTTCGGTTTTTTCCACTTTGTGCTGCAATCTCTTGCAAAATTAAAAAAGAAAATAAAAAAGAAATGTTGAAGTTGAACTTTGGGGATGGTGATCGGCATTTCTGGGTTGATTTTTTGAGGAAAAACTAGCTGATTTTCTTTACACATTAAAACAAAGTTCTTAAACTGCTTGGGGGCTGGAGGGGGGAAGATATAAAGTGAATCAACTTTCCTGCTTCTGAACAAAACACATTTCCAGCCCATAAAAGCACCCAGGCTCACGTGCTGAGAATGTTCCTCACACAGCATTTTCACGGAAAGTTGCTAGCTTCACTAACACTCTTTAAATGATGCCCCCATCATTACTCCACTTAGCAGTCACAGTGCTGCAACTCATAACGAATTAATTTGCATTAATGTGGGTTTCATGTGTCCTTCCCTGGGTATGCCATTGTGATTCAGGCTTAATAAAACTGACACGACAATAACATCGTGCCTTTTATTTCACTTTCTAAAACAAACCAACCCCACCCCAAGACCCACACGAATCCTCCCGATTTTTTAAGCATTTTACTAATATATTTAGTACATCATAATTGGCCCAGCACGCAGGAATCTAGTTATCTTCTCAGTAAATATTTATAGCATCACTTCTTTCCCATTCATTCTGCCTTTTCTTAGAGAATCTCACTGTAGCCTACA